ATAACTTTCATGTTTGACTATCTCCAGAAAGCTTCATTTTTGCATTTGGATATTATGTACCGAAAAGCTCAATACCGAAAGCTCCTATTGGGTCTTACAGTTTACGATACTTATTCCTGGAGAAGTTGAGGATCCAGAATTGGAAAGTGCAGTCCCAGGTCTTACGGAGTTTGCCATCTAGAGGAAATGCCCTACTTTCTTCATCACCATCTCCCTACTACTCACACCTTATCTCACAGGGATCACAAACATTATGAGCCTTTCTTACGTAAATACAGCTAATATGAAACAATAGCTAACGTTACTAGGTGCCTATTATATGCCATATTCTAGTCTTTCATTTAAGTAAAGGGAAAAAAAACCTCCACAGTCCCCTACCAAAGGGGTATTTCTTCCTAAATGCCACTCTGTCTCCTCGAGGACAAAACCGATAGATCTCCAGGGCAAAATTGGAGATTAATCAGAAAATAGTAATATTACTGCTGATGTCACTGCTGACTTCCTAACTGCCAGTTCCAACAAGCAATTTTCTGCCCTTTCTCACCTTTGTATATGACCAAGCAACTCTCTGCAGCCTTTCTCTTAATTCCTTTGATGTTTTTTCCCCTCTCGTTTTCTCCCTTTTCTCAGTCTTTCTGTGTTATGGCTATGGACAATTCCCACAGACTGTGTGCCTGCTTCTTTATCTATATAACAGAAATCATGCTATCAACCTGAAGGAACTCTTAGGAAAACCAAGAGTCTATTTGTGAAATGCCATCAACTATAAGATGTTCTATCAATTGTTTTGTTGCTGTTAAGTTTAGTAAATTATTTCCCATCAGAATTTCAAAATCTTATTGAAGAATGTTTTGTAATAGCATTTTTTAAAAGGATGCTGATGTTCTTTAATGTGTTTTCTAAGTGGTTGAAATACCCCCATATGTATCTGAATTAAAAAACCAAACAATAGTGTACACAAAGTTAGATTTCAACTTAGCTTCTGTACGAGTCATTCACATTCTACGATTTTCATCAATACATGACCTTGCAAGCAAGTGTCTGCTCAAGAGATTTGGGAATCCAATTATGAGGTTACACTGAATATTTAGTGCTGGTTTGAAGATCAAGTCAATAAATTATATGCTCAATTATTTCAGATGCCCATACCCAGTAGATAAGAAAATATCCATCAATTTGGGCATCATTTCTCATGTTTCCCATCCATCTCTTTTGAGGTAAACAGTCATTCTGGGAGGGAGGAGTCCCGTTGCAAAAGCCTTGATAGTTGTCTGGCCCCTTGGTGAATTGTCCTGCCTGACCAGCCTCATATCCTGCCACTGCTCCAGTCCCAAGTTGACTCAGCTTCCCCACTGCTCCCACCTTCTTCTGGTCTTTCTTCCAGCTCTCACCACATTGAACAGCTACTGTCTCTCTGCTGTTTCCCCCACAGGTCCATGGGTATTTCAATGGCAGGGGCCATGTTTTTCATCCATCAGTGTGTCCTACTAGAATGTGGTAGGTACTCAATAAATGTATTAGACACTTGAACAGTATCAACGAGTGGAGGAAGACCTCAAGGCAGAGGAAGTTTCGCCCTGTTAGAACAGACAGATCATTTGTTGCCTTCCCCCAAATAACCCTCTTTGCACCCTGTTTTTAACGGTCTTAAGAGATCATGAGGTTTCTAAGGGGAGGCAGCGAGTCTCCCCTTACATCTGGCAGAGACAGATGCAGAACCTAGTGTATACTAAGCAAAATGTGTCATACAAATGACTCAATGATTATCTTTTTAGCTCAATTTACATCTAACCAAATTTTTCTTCTGAGCACCGAGGGCGAGACCAGGTAAGAGGGGCAAGTGATACAGGGAGCTTTGGTCTTCCAGCATTCTCCTATCTGACGAATATTCGATAGTTCAGCACTGGCTGGGTCTTGCCTAGATTACCAGATCTCCGTTAAGTCACAAATTTTCCAGAAATAGAAGAGAGGAGGGTGGGACCATGACGGTCGTGTCCGGGAAAGGAAGCACTTGGTGTATGAATCCTGGAAGGGGGTTCCATGTTAGTGAGCCAAGCCATGTTGTCAAAGCCTCTCTCCACTAATACACCCTATCTGCTGGAAGCAGATGAAAGCGAGTCACGCCAGGACTTGACAAATATTCATTATGCACAGGGTGACTACAGTGCAGTGTGCATCCTGAGTGGTTTCTCACCTGTCTGGGGAAGAAATGGTGAACTGCATCTCCCCCTTGACTATCGGTCCACATTAGACCTGGCTCCTTACAGATGGAAGGCAAAACCGGAGTCTTATTCAAGTAAATTTGGAACTGTGCCAAGAAAGCCTGGAGACAGCCACATGTCTGGGCAGATGAATCTACAGCAGGAAGTGGTTTATTTCAGCCTTTTAGAAACAGCCGGAGTAATAGGGAAGAGTAATTGGCTCACTTTCCCCGTGAAGTTGAATGTCGTCTTCTCACTATTTACAAGCTGTTTGCCAGCCTCTGGGGCATTATGAGGGGATAAGCCACATTAACACAGCAGAACTTGACTCTGACTTCCCAGGGAAACAGCTGGCAGAGCTGGCACCGGCTTCCAGGCAGCTCTCGAGTTTCTCTGCTCAGCTTTCAAGTGCCAAGAGCTTGTATGTTGCCGGGCCAGGTGCCCAGCAGGTCCTGCCGAGACCCGTCATCCTGTGCTGGAGACCAATTATTCTCTTCACAAAACCAACCACGTGCTTGTGCACGGCTGAGGTGGTGGCAGGGCTACAAAAGACAAGGGAGCCAATCAACAGTCCCCAAAAAGGAACCTGGAAACTTACTCAAATTCACTTGGCCAGAAAGTTTTAAGGCTCAGATTATCCCAGATTCTGACTTCAACATAACCCTCCAGATTTTAAAAGGACACTTGTAATTCGCAGACAAGGGCTCCCGATTCAGCTCAAGCCAAGCAAGTTGACAAAGGGAATCCCTCATGTTTTTGGAACTAAGTGAAGTTTTTGTCGGCGAGTCAGATGGAGATCCAGCAGTGGAGGCCGCCAACAGGCTGAGCATTAAATGGAAAGGCAGAAAATCCTCCACATCCCAAGCAGGTCCTTGTTGCCATTGTTTGCCTTGCTGTACCAAATACAAAGAATATGAGGCCATTTTTAACCCCTGAAGTCAATCTGTAAATATTCGAGTAGATGGGTTTCCATGCCGTTCAAATGAGTCATCATTCTCCTTCGCCATCCAACCTACTAGACGATCCCGAGACACGGAAGCTCACCGCCTCACAAGCTCTCTAACTGTCCAGACAGTCCTTTTATCTGATTACGTCCTGTCTCCCTGGTTCCCTAACCTAGCTGTGGACACAGTAGTATAATTGTCTTGACAACTCCCACAACTCCAGTAGACTTGTGTGGGTTCTCTGTGGCGTTGACCCCATTCCTCTGAAGCCAAAATAGGCCCTTCATGAAGGCTGCCCGAGGGTCTTTCAAGGTTCCTATCCCTACACGGAGCATGCCACAGGGCATCTGACACGGGAGGAAGGTAGAAAGGTTGTAGGCCACCCTCTCCCTACTTGTGTAGGTAAGTCCAAGTGTGGCATCTACTTCACTTGAAGGGCTGACTCAGGTCAACTCCTAGCTGGGTGGCTCTCAGCCTCCTTTTTCCCTCTATCTCCTAGGATCCATCCAGAGCCTGGCCTGTCCAACAGCGGCCCTTTGGAGAATCTTTCCATCTGCCTGACCCTCTGGACCCGAGGCCACGACACCAGCCTCTGGCACTGCGACAGATACGGCAGCAGTGGGGTTTCCATGTCTGTTTCTGGCCGACTTGCCACTTCCCCTTGCCCATCCGTCCCAACCACCCTCTGCATTTAGCCACCCTAAGGCTGGTGGCTTCGCCATGTGGTAAGAAACCGCAAGATTTAAAACATGCCCAGTGCATGCTCCATTACTCAGGGCCTCTGATGCAAGGCAAGTCTGTTCTTTTGAGTCTAAAGTATTCAGAAAGTTTAACACTTAGTGAATGAAACAACTGGCATTAGTCATGGAGCTGCTCACACCGAGTTTTGTATTGCCTACTCTTAGGTTCTTGGTACTCTATTCATGGGTCACTGTTATAGAATGCAAACACTTGAGGAAAAGAGATTGTGTTCCTTCAGAGTAAGCCCTGCTTCCACCCTAGGACTCCAGCTTAGAACATGCCTGAAGCATATTAATTGATGGCTGTATGGTTTCCTGCTCTCTGGTTGGCTAAGCTTGGCGATGCTGGATAAGCTCCATTCCAAGGAGACGCACCCTTCAAAGGATAAACGCCTGGACAGTCCAGGAAGGCCGTCACTGTGCAGGCAAGCAGGCAGGTCCCTCCGAGGCTGTGAGCTTAGGAATTCCGACAGCCCCTCCTCACCCAACAGGGCTGGGGCTCTGTCCCACTACTTCAACTGTCAACTTGGCCGCAAGGCTGGAAGTACTGGCCCCAGACACGGGATAAAGGGGAATACCAGAAACAGGCGGTTCCCACTCTCAACACCTTTCTTCTAGTCCAGTGGCAAAGCACAATTCACACTTAGAAAACCCAGTTAAAGACACTTAGTGTTGTCAGCCCGTGTGGAGAAAACGCGAAAGGAGACTGGCAGAGAGACGGGCAGGGAAGTGAGGAAATGAGAGGGAGGGGTTGTAGCGATTAGAAATCCACGTTCCTAACTTCAGACTTTCCTTCGATAGATTTGTTGGGGCTTAAATGATGCAAAGCCCCCGACCATCTGTGTCTCACGGAAACATGTGTGAGCACCTGTCAAATCCCCCAGCACTTTGCATCATTAACTCTGACAGCTATACTGCTAGGTGGGTATCACTGCCCCCAGTTCACAAAAGAAGAAAATGGGGCTCAGAGCCTAAGTCACTTGCTTCAGTCATATAGCTAGTGAGTGGCCTTGGTTTCCACTCACATTGTCCAAAGTAGCTCCGTGATGGGTTGGATGTTCTACAGAACCGAAGTTGTGAGATCTCGTGTTGACTGTTGCTGTCTGCCGCTTCAGGTAATTTGTTCTCGGCGAGTCTGGCATCGGCTGACCTAGTGGTGGCCATGTTCTATGATGGCTGGGCTGGTGGGGGGGGGAGGAGCACTCCAAGGCCAGCACCTTGGTAATGAGCCTCATCAGCAATGACTCCATCTTCAACATCAACACCATCGCCATTAACCGCTACTGCTGTATCTGCGACAGCGTGGCCTACCACCACATCTACTGGCACTGGCACACCCCTCTACACATCTGCCTCATCTGGCTCCTGTGGTGGCCTTGCTGCCCAACTTTGTGGGGTCCCTGGAGTATGACCCACACATCTAACTCCTGCACCTTCATCCAGACGGCCAGCACCAGGTACACTGTGGCAGTGGTGGTCATCCACTTCCTTCTCCCCTTCACTGTCCCGTCCTACCTGCGCGTTGGAATGCTGGTGCTCCAGGCACGCGGGAAAGCCAAGCCAGAGAGCAGGCTGTGCCTGAGGCCCAGCGACTTGCTGAGCTTTCTAACCGTGTTTGTGGTGGTTATGATATTTGCCTTCTGCTGGGCCCCACTTAACTGCATCGGCCTCGCTGCGGCCATCAACCCTCAAGAAATGGCTCCCCAGATCCCTGAGGGGCTATTTGTCACTAGCTACTTACTGGTTTATTTCAACAGTTGCCTGAATGCCATCGTCTATGGAGTCCTGAACCAGAACTTCCTCAGGAGTAGGGGAGGAACCCATGGCACTGCATTCAGAATGCTTCAGAATGCATCCAAGGGCAGCCAGGCAGAGGGACTGCAGAGCCCAGCTCCACCCATCACTGGTATACAGCACCCGGCCCAGGCACATGCTCTCTAGCCTGGATCTGAGGCACACCAGCTGCAGAACAAACTCCTTAAAGTGTTTCAGTGCCAACAGATTAACAGCTTTCTTCAATTCCACAAATACCAACAGTGCTCTGTGGACCAGGTCTGGCTTGCTGCCTACCCTCTGGGAGGTCACATTCTGCTGTTAAGTTTAGTATGAAGTAACATCCAATGATGCTTTTCTCAGTATCGGGCACTACAGTAAGGGCTTGCTATGCATTCTCAATCCTCACAAAACTCTTTCACAAAGATTATGATCCATTTTAATAGTAAGAAACGGAAATTCCAAAATGTGCAATTATGGCCAGAATTCAGAGCGACATTCAGGACTAGACATGGAGGTCAAGTCTGATGGCAGCACCCTACTTCTGTCCCTACTCATTCCAGCTTTGGGTGTGTGGCAGGGACAAAGTGCAGTGGCGTAAGAATTGAATGTCCACAAGGTGCCTGGGGTCCTCAGCCTCCCAGCTGCTTTCCTGAAGAGCCCAGAATTTTATGGAGCCCAAGATCCATCATGCCGGATCCTCTTTCTGCCCTTGTCACGTGAAGAATCTAGGCTGGGCGCTGTGCTTGTCACCTAGCCATATGGGAGCCTGTTAAAATGTAAATTTTCTGGGCCCTGCCAACAAGGTTTTGATATTGGAAATTTGGGGCGGGTCTAGGCATCCGATTCCAACACTAGAGGTCCTTAACCTAATTGCTCGGGATGAAAGCGTCACAGTTCTAATGATGGCAATGGTAGTGTGCTCCACTCAGGTAGGCCTCTGTCCCCACACTTCAGTTTTAGAGGTGCAGAAGAATCCTAAGGATTCTGAGTTGCAGCCGCTTTTCCTGGCTGTGGGCAGAGTTTGCAACGACCTGGTCAGATGCGTGTTGTTCTGTCCTCACTGCTTCCCTTCCCCTCCAGGCTCCAACGATAGCAATGTGCTCTGTATTCCAGATTTGGAGAAGGAACCATAATAATGCTTTAGTCATGCCAGTCATTTCATGGCCATTCCCAACTTGGTCAGAGTGATGAAAGACCCCCACCAAATGACCTATCTAGTAAAGACAGCCACCCAAGATTGTCTTCAATTGCTTCTAAAACTCCTTTATTGAAGAGTTGATTTTGTCTATACCCTGAAGTGATTATCTGTTCTAAGCCTGTTGAAATCACTACCCAGCTGTTTTCCTACCCACTTAAATGCTCTATGAAAGGAGGCTACCATTATACACCCGTTCTTGCAACTACTTCGATCCATTTCGCCAAGGAAATGCTTATACTTTTCCCCACCGTTTAGTTGACTATCAGCTTGACAGGATTAGCAGCCTGTATCCTTTCATCTCTATCATCCCCTAAAGTCCTGCTCAGTCATACCTCTGAACTCTTACCCTGGGTCTTCGCAAATTCCTTAGCTCCTTCCTATCAAGGAGTGCTTGGCAATAAACTTACTAGCTACAAAACCTTGATTTAGTCCAATCCCCAAAGCCCCGCTTAAGACTCCAGGCTTAACCTATACAACTTGTCCAGGATCCTGGGGGCTTCCATTATGTCTATTGTTCGAGTTCTAGGGAACCCCTTTCTCCCTGGCTTACAAATGCATTGATAGCTGGTATGTATGAGAACTTGCTCATCTGGCCAGTTTTCTTTCTATTGTTAAATCTACTGAGGCAAAGCACCAGACTAGCTCCGAAATTTGTTAGAACTAAAAGGCTCCTCACACTTGTTTTGGAGATGCGTAAGTCAGAACTTGCCTGGGTGCCAAGATGGAGCCAAGTACTTCTTTGGGTAGACTCTTACTCTGATATGGAGTAGTGTTCCATGCACATGATTAGAAACCTCTCCCTTTGGAATTCTTGCTGATCCAACTACATCTGCAGTAGCCACCCAAAAAACTTAATCTATTGGTTTGGGTTGTGTTAGACAAGATTGCTCCCGTCTTGGCAGGATGGTATTGGAGTCTGCAACAGCTAATACAACTTATGTACATACAATGCCTCAGCTGAAGTCAAAACCCATGTGGACAAGATTAAACAGGCCACCTGCCTACAGCAGCTCTCCAGAAGCCCCAGAATTACCCAAGTGGTTTTCTGGACTTCTCACAAACGATCCGTTTCACAAGAGCTCCTGAAATTTGAACTTTCCTTCTCTAAGGCTCATAATTTACCTCATAATTCAGTGTTCCATTAAGTCTTGGGCCGAAACTACAGATTACAGGACTAATTGTTTTCATTAGGCAGGGCAGGAGCTGCAGACCTGGCATGCCAGAGTACCTCTAAGGCTACTGCTAAACGGCTTCAATTCCTCTCACCCTGACCGTGGTATTTCCATCTGTACCCCATCAGCAGGAAGCCAACAGTCATACCCAGATTCCTTATTGATTTCTGCCTCAGGATTCATAAGTAGGTCGAGGGGACACCGAGACCACCCTCAGAGTTAACACTAACAAGCCAGGCTTCAGGCAGAATTAGGAGTTAACCAGGCACACTGGTCCTATTTTGACACTCTTTGCAGTTGCCTATCCAGAGTAAAGTAGTAACGTTGACCACTTGCTTCCTTCATTGTTCTCACAAATAGAATCTCTGCTGAGACTAGCCTAAGACTTTTGGCTCAAACACTGCTTATTTTTCGGACCTTGCAATTCCAGCAGGATATCTGGTGCCAATCAATCTGAAAATCCAACCAAGGAACTGACTCGGCCTAAAAATGCTTTCATTTTTCTGCCCTCTGACTTTACCTTTCACTTCTAAGGCTAATCACAGCAATTCCTCACACCTTAGACCAACATCCATCCCACCATCCTTGTAGATCCCTTACCTTTATTTCCCCAAACCTCTCAAGGAGGTTTGAGATTGCCACCCACCTCATAGAGTGGCTCTATGATGAGGCTTTCTTGGCTTCAACCTTGGTGTATTGGTGTGTTGACTTGCTATCCAATGGGCAATCCATCTTGGATACTATGCTTTAACTTTGTAAGATCTCTAAGAGTAAACAAAGCTTTTGTTCAGTAAGAGACCTTAACCATTCTCCCCACCGATACCCTTCCATCTCTTTCTTCAAAAGGAGGAAGCTCCTCCTGAAATTGTTCTACCTCAAACATTCTTGCCAGTATTTATTCCCCTTTTAACTTCCACAATAGTTTTTCCCTTGTAAACTTCTAAAGACAGCTTCCATCATTCCGTTTTCTTCTGAATGCCCATATCTGAATAGTCCCAGGAACTTGGACAGCAGAGAAAAGACAGGGATTTGTCATTTGACCCTATTACAGTAGTGATGAATTGCTCAGCCATGTGTCATGCAGCATGCAGCCTGGAATAAATTAAGAACATGTGGCCTATGTCTGGTATTAGTTCTCCCTCAAAAGCCATCCCTCGGGAGAGATGAAGTCAAATTAAATGAAAGCCTTTACAAAGACTCCATTTTGGTACAGTCTCCAATTTTGAGTACCACATGCCATTTGGGAACATGTATGGACTGCAAGAGATGTGAATGCTGGTTCAAAGACGGTTGTAGGTCTCGACCAGAATAAAGGATGTGAGCACTTTCTCACAACACCAACTCAACAGTTATTTCTGAGGGTAAGTCTTATGCCTCAAATTTTAGATGCTATAAATAGGCCATTTGTAGATTTTTTTTAAAGCAGTAGAGTTACACTTAAAAACCCATGACTACTAGAGGAATAGGGATAAAGCCTGATACTTGTATTATGAAAATAGGTCCTTGTGGTTTGCGTTTGTTTCCTGCAGTTGTATCCGATTTAAGCGGTATTTGTTATGTGACTAAGCACATGAGCTCTGGAAAACCTAGGTGACTCAGCTTGTTACTAGTGCATAATTGGCTAAGACTTAAGTCATGACAACATTTAAAGATGTATACATAACAAATCCAGCATGGAGACACTTCTTTAGCCCATATTTGTATATTTAAGGTATGCAGGTGACATTTACAGCTTCGGTGGAAGATGGAGGTGCCTCGAGTTTGGTATTGGATTCAGACAAGAGGGCACGTTTTTGCCTATACTGAGCCTAGAGTCTTCCTCTAGCCCTTCTCTTCTGGTTTCAGCATCTGTTGGCTTCTCCAAAAACGGATTTCCATAAATTAGTTCTTAGAGGGACAAGGGGAGCACCTTGTAATGGAGGGGAAACTTCTATCCTTTGTTAATGGCATTTTTGTAGACAGCAGCTGTTGCAAACCTCCCACAACAAATTTTTATCAGCACTTTTTTCAGGATATATCCCTGCCCCTGGCTTCAGAGAAATGATCTCACTTCAAAGCCACTTAACAGTCCAAACAGTTTAACCAAATGATGAATCCTTTTGTTGTAGTAACAACTTTGTGTATACTCCCCACCCGTCTTGGGAAGGTGAGGTCTCAGACCCCACTGAGAACTTTGAGCCAACTCCCCACCTCCCCCTGAGTGTGAGAGGTTTCATCTTAGACTCCACATGTGAGTTAGTGACCCTCAAACTACTAGACTTTGAAATAGACTGAAGATTTGACAGAGCTTAGGCCAGGGCAGGCTACATTTCAGGAAGGCAGCTGACAGACCAACAGCCACTCCCATCATAGGCCCAGAGGCCTAAAAATACTGGTCTTCCAGGCCAGATTCAGAGCACTGCCCACCTGCAGAGTTCTCAGACACTGCTTCCTGCATCCCAGCAGCTCCAGTCCCAGCCATGGTTCAAAGGGTCCCAGGTACAGTTTGTATCGCTGTTTCAGAGTATAACCTTACCTTTTTAACATTGGTGGTTTCCAAGTACTGTTAAGCCTGCAGGTAAGCAGACTCATAGCTAGTCCTTGGAAGCCTCCACCTAGGTTTCAGGCGATGTATGGAAATGCCTGCAGGTCCAGGCAGAAGCCTGCTGCCGGAACAGAGCCCTCATGAAGACTATCTACTAGAGCACTGTGGACAGGAATTGTGGGGTTGGAGCCTCCCACCCCAAGTCCCCAGTAGGGTACTGCCTAATAGAGTTGTGAAGAGGGCCACTGTCGTCAAGATCCCAGAATGGTAG